CTACTCATGGGACATGATGGTTCACGCTCGCTCACATCAGCATGTTAAGATCACCTACAGAGACGGAGTAACTGGGGAGACGGGATATCTGAACCCTGGCGTGAGTCACTTGATAAACACAAACATTTTCAGGTTAAATACTGATTAAGCTTTATTGGTAATAATTTTGACATACCTCAGTTTATGAAAAATTGTATGTCCATAGTTTAATGTTTCTTTAACTTGCAGTAGAAGCATATGGGAAAAAGTTATTCTAAATTAATTTTTCATGATAAATCAACAATGTACTACAGATGCTGTCAATAGAGCTTAACTTGTTTTGGCCCACAATATTCCTTATTTTAGCACTACACCGACTGAAACTCATTGAAATTGTACCACTACATTATAATGCTCTTTTAAATATGCTTATATTCTTTTTCAATGTGGTGCAGGTTTTCACTCAGAGCCGGAGATGGAAAGACCATGGAGACATGTTGAAGCAGTATGCCACCTGCCTCAGTGAAAATCTGCCACGCTTCAATATCTCAGACCCAGAGATCTACTTTGACATTTGGGTGTCCATTAACGACCGCTTCCAACAGAGGTTAGTAATGCTTCTACTGTTCAGTTTACATTGCTAGATGTTCCTTGATTCATACAAAATGATAATCCAAGACTTTATTAATGGTAAAAATATGTCTCCCTTTCTGTTCTGCAGGATATTTGACCCACGTGTTGACCTCGTAAAGGCTGATTGGTCACCGTTCCGACCCAATTCATGGCTCATGCCGCTGCTCGTTGACCTCTCACCGTGGAGGACTAAATTTGAGGAGATTGAAGGGTCTTTAGACAATCAGACTGAGGTGGTCTTCATCGCTGACTTCCCAGGTATATGTCTGTGTTTATATATCGATATATCTAATTTAACCACACAGATGCTCAGTTATTACTGCTGTTGTTGCATTCACAGGCCTTTATCTTGAAAACTTTGTGAGTGAGGATCTTGGAAACACCAGCGTTCAAGTCCTGGAGGGTCTGGTGAATGTTGAAATAGTGGACGAGAAGAAGAACTATAGTTTACAACCTGGTGAAAAGATGCAGGTACAATTATTCGTTCCTCTTTAATGAACTCTTGATTCATTCTGCTGTAACATTTTCAATTCTTACTAGTATTAATGCTGTGTCTATATTGAATTGATGTGACAAAATGTCATTATTGTGTATTAAGATTCCAGCTGGTGCGTACCATAAGGTGTACACTGTGTCTGAAGGGCCTTCGTGTTACATGTACATCTATGTAAATACTACTGAAGCGGAGCTGCAGAGGAACTTCACAAAGCTTTCTGAACTTCAGGAGAAAGTGCGCAATGGAACAGGTAGGGTTTTTTAATCCAAATTCAGATTTAATTTAGATTAAGTCAGCGTAAAAACCTTTTAGACACGCCACAAAACAAATGGCAACAAGAGCCCATAGCATCTTTATTTAAAATATGAACGGAGCTTTGCTTGTGAATATACAGTACTTGTCTAGTTCAAACTCTTCCTGGCTTTTGTAGTGAAACATCCTTGAACATCGATGCGAGTAAAAGAAGCCACATTATGTTTTGTGTGGAGCTCCCCTGTAACAACTTGTTGCTGTTTGTAGAAACCGAACCTCTGCCTCCTGAGCTGCAGCCGCTCATCACCGGTCTCGACGACCAGGACTCGGACCACAGCGTGATCGACCCTGTAGTCCGACTCTTCCTGAAACGACAGAAGCGCATGCAGGAGGTCAAAAAGAGACGAGAAGCTTCTATGGTCGAAAGATTCCAGAGATTTGCCTCAAAGAAATACTACTCGATTAGACGAGGGTATGTTGAGGTGTTAACTCAGATAGTACATGTATACACAGTCATGACAGTACAAGTGAACAGTGTTATTTTGGTTTATCTTTTGAGGTTCCTGATGACAGCCATCGCATTGCGTAACCTGGCCGTGGGTTTGCCACCGCTAGAGCAACTGACAAGAGAAGTGGCCTACGCCAACATGAAGGAGCCCGAGACCGAGACCAATCAGGATGAGCGTCTTAAAGATGAGGTGGGCCACGGAGAGCTGTGAGAACAGACACTGTTACTGAGCTGCTGGGTGATCCCGCAGCAAATCAACAAATGCTTTAATAGGTCAGTATTTTTGGAGCATTCCACCTTTGTGAAAAAAAAAAAAACAGTTTATTGTTTACAGTTTGGTCATTTTTTTCCCTTTTTTATTATTTACTGAAACCCAAAAATGAAAATCGGTCATCTTTTACACTCCCTCATGTTGTTCTAAACCTGTACGACTGTTGGATTTGAAGATTTTATACTGTAGTGTTTTATATTGTAGTCGTAAAGACTATTTTATGGTACTTGTTTCTGTTCTTAATTGAACGTCCATTGTATGGAAAAAAGCAGTGGGAACATTCTTTAAAATTTCTACTTTTGTGTTCCACCAATGTCATACAGCTTTGGAACAACATGAAGGTAAAATGAGGATTTATATTTCAAATGTAGAATTTTTGGGTGAACCATTCCTTTAACTATGGAAGCTTATTTCTCCCACAGAATAAAAAAAGTAATTGTGACCGTATTCTCACTATTCAGACTTATTTGAGAGTTGCAAATGTATAACTCACAATTCTGACCTTTTTCCCCCCTAGAATTCTGCATGTCTAAATATTCAGTAAAAAAAAACAATTGCTCATAAATGCGAAAATAAATGTAAAATAAAAAGTCTGTGGAAGAAATAAGCTGCCATTCTTGAGTCGTATTTTTTCTTTCCCGTGGTTACTGAAATTTTAGTAAAAACACTAAATTTACTTGGTTCTCTTCATTATTTGAGAGTAGAGTATTTGCTAGTGTAAAAGCTATTAATTTACTGTCATTTTGTTCAGTATTAAAACACTAAACAATGTTTAATTGTGATTATGTTTGAAGCCTACCTTTTTTTTTTTTTTTTTATGAAACCAAAGCGTTTATCCTACAATTCACCCTTTAGTGCTTAAGGTATCCTGCCATGTATTGTCTCATTACAGGATTTATGCATACTTTAAATCAAATGCAGTTAGAAACAATTTTCAAATCATCTTTCAATTGGACAAATCCTGGCTGTAAAATGTGCCAAACATGGACAGGTACCGAATTGTCTTTAATGCATAAGTTTCATTATGCAAAATACTGCGTTATTAAATGCCTGGGTTTTATGCAACAGAAACCTTCTCACAGCTTTTACATGCACACTATGATTTTGGGATTATGAAAGCAGGAAAGCTGTTCAGATGGGATTTGTCTGCATGTGTCCATTTTTGAATAAACAAAGTGCAACACTACCGCAACGTGTCATTATAATGCGATTGAAAGGTGACAAAGTATGTAATTAGTGAATAAATGTGATGTTTTATTGCTGTCAGGTTTAAAATGATATCTAGTTACAACTGATCTTTTCACCCTTGTTAAAGTGCACGAGTCACAATAAAACACACACATAATGGAATGGCACATTGTCCATACGCAGAATTAAGATCTAGAACTGCTTGAAATGGTACAAAATAAATCCTGTTTCAGTTTGACCATCAGCTTTATAACATTTAGACAGGCTAAACTTCTCAAACTGCATTATCATCTCCATTACTACTTCCAACAGTAGTGAAAAACTAGTGTTCATGCACTCTTACTACACAGTGAAGTTCCTAAAAATATTAGACTAATATTAGTCCAGACTAAACTGCATTTTCAAAGAAGAGAATCCACTGAAAATGGTTTACGTAGCTGCAGGTTAATAATGGAGAACGCCAAGTTGTGTACTTTTAACAACAGCTCTTTTTCACAGTTTTGGGCTGTAACATGATACAAGACATTTAGACTGGCTTTACACCGGTTTGGTTCATTCAGTACTTCCCTTTTTGCTAATTATAAGCCAAGGCTGGTAATCGATAATTGCCACATCAAAAACAAAGAAACACAATAACGTTCATACAATAATTCGGTACATAATGAAAAGGTTCAAGGCTCTTCCAACAATTTCCTTATTTCATAAGTCACCTCACTTGGAGAAACACAGTCAGTGGATCAGACGTCCTCCTGACCTCATATATGACACGAGGAGAGATGTGCAAATACAGTATATGCGGAGGTACTTCTGATATTAAATGAGACCTTGATTTGTAGGGTTGGGTACCGTTCACATTTTAACCTGTACGGTACCGGTATCAGTACCTGAATTTCGGTGCCAGTACCCAACGTTACCTTTTTTCGGTACTTTACTCTCTGTGTAATTACAAAAACATTTATTAAGGCATTAAACGTTTATTTTAAATCAAATGAAAATTAAACCCTTTTATTTTTTGGCAAACAAACTGAGGTTTACTGTTGAAATTATTACATGGAAGAAAAATTGTGAATATTCCTTTAAAACATTTTTTAATAGGCTAATAATTGTATTATTTTTTTCTACAATTAAGTGATTAATCTGGTTGTAATATTTATTTTTATCTTTAATTGTTTTATTTTAATTTGATAGAAAATGGAATATTTAAAGATGTACATTATACTGTACAAAAGTAATACAAGAGTAATATATTTCTGTTACATGTTAAACCTCGTTGGAGATTCTTAGTCCTCCTTTCCGTTCTTTCAATCGCTTTACGTATACGTCGACTTTCCATTTCCATTATTGTGAAACCCGCGAGACACAACAAACACACAGCTCCGATCACAGCGTCCTCCATCCTCCTGTTGTTAATGTTGTTCTTCTTTGTTGAACGCCGCGCACAAATGACGACGCTGTCGATCGGCTTACGTCTCTTCTTAGTACACACTCTCGGTGCGAATGCAACCCTTTAAATGGTACTGGGAAATAGTTCCCGCAAAATCGTCCCAGTACTTTAGTACTGTACATTTAGTTCTGGAACTAAAGCGGTGCGAAATGCGTATGCGCCCAGATGCGTTCTCAGGTACCGAAATTTGGCACCGATTGATTTAACATGAATCGGTACTCGATAGTACCGACGCAATTCGGTCGGTACCCTTAAAAGTACAGAGTTCGGTACCCAACCCTATTGATTTGACAGTCGATATGAATGGTTACTTTGTGTAAAACTAAAATCTCAATTCATGCAAATACAGAACACAAAAACCAACCAGAATCTCATGGAGTGCTGATGCCAAACTACAGTCTTTTTACAGGCTGTAATGAGTGAGTCTGTTAAACTGGTGCTGCGTGATTTAGTGTTGGTAATACGAATCCCTTTTTATCCGAGAACTTGATGTGACGTCGTCCATAGTGCTGAGATCTACCTCGGCTGGAAGTCTGGGTAAAATATTCCACGTATCACACCTTCAATAACCATATTAGAAAACGTATCTGCAAACAATTGAGAAACAAATGTATTTGTAAAACAATACATGTGCACATGCAGAGTTTATAACAGGATTTTGTTTTTGCAGCATGTCTTTTGGTAAAATACTACTTATTACAACAAGACAAGAAACTTTTATTACACAAAAACAAATGAGCAGTAATTAGACTGATTGAAGTTCTCAGCTCAGTTCAATTCAGATATAATAACATGTGATTCAGTGAGCGAATGAGTCATGCGAGTCAGTTCAGCGAGGATGGGAGTTGTGTGACTGATTCATACGAATAATTCCTGTGTTTAAGTTAGCTTGATTTACAAATATATATATTTTTTGTTCATTTTAAATTTGGCTAAAGAAATGAATACTTAAATTGTGCAAGGATGCATTAAATTGAACATTAAAATATACATTAAAAATTAAATGCTGTTCTTTTGAAAAAAATAAAATCATGGTTTACGAAACAGCATGACTAAACACTGATAATAAAAAGAAAAAAGTGTTTTTATCAGATGAATCTTATTAGAATGATTTCTGAAGGATCATGTGACACTGAAGACTGGAGTAATGATGCTGAAAATTCAGCTTTTCCATCACAGGAATAAATTACATTTTAATATATATTCAAATAGAAAACAGTCATTTTAAACTAATAATATTTCACAATATTACTGGTTTTACTGTATTTATCAGATAAATGCAGCCTTGTTGAACATAAAATACTTTTTTTTCAAAAAACTTCTAAACTGCAGAATATATGTGACCCTGGAGCACAAAACCAGTCTTAAGTCGCTGGGGTATATTTGTAGCAACAGCCAAAAATACATTGTATGGGTCAAAAATTATCGATTTTTCTTTTATGCCAAAAATTATTGGCACCCTCAGATTCCAGATTTTAAAATAGTTATATCTCAGCCAAATATTGTCCTATCTTAACAAACCATACATCAATGGAAAGTTTATTTATTCAGCTTTCATATGATGTATAAATGTCAATTTCTAAAAACTTACCCTTATGACTGGTTTTGTGGTCCAGGGTCACATATGTATATTAATCTATAAGTAACACTCATTATAAACACAAACACACATATGCACATTTGTGTTTGTTTTATTGTTAGTTCATGATGCTTAATGCATTAGGTATTGTGAACTATATTTAGCATCCATATTCATTTTTAGATCTGTGTAGCAAAACTATTGTTTTCTTCAAAAATACTTGTATTTATCAGTCACCCATGAACAGGAGTGAAGAAAACATGAATGCATATGAATTCTTCTCCACCTTAAAAAAAAATCAAAGGAAAGAAAAGAAATATAAAGGACAGTCATGTACCGTTGGTGGTAGGCAGCAGATAGGGATCCCTCAGGAAGAGAAGTGCTGGTTGATGTGTCAGTTTACTGCAGGGTTTGGAGAGGAAAGGTCAGAGAGAGAACACAATGACTCACAAACTAGTTGAGTTTCTGATGACAGTGATAAAACACAAAGCTGACTGTGACATTTATCACGCAATAACTTCTCAAAAACGCTTTTATAAGAGCACTTGACATCAAAATGGCTCTGAAATGGTTTGGTTTTTACAGAAAACCCTGTTGATGTGCAGTGCTTCTTTCAGATGTAATACTGTAATAAGCAGCCAACATACCTTGATTCCTCTGATTCAGTTTCAAATGACCTAAACAGAAAAAGAATCACTTTAACACACACGTACACTGTACAATGATCTTTTTGGAATTACTACATTGAAATGTCTTTGTTTGTACAAAAGTCTGCTTTCTAAGGCCTTTACTTCAGACAAAATGACACACTATATAAAGCCGTACCCACAACTCTCAGTTTTCGGCAGTGACGGGAAATGGCGGATATTGAGGAAATCCAAGAATATCTTTGGAAGAACCTCATTTTCCATGATTATAGTCTACACTCCCACACAAAGAAAATCAAATGGTTATTCCAGAAAACAGGAAAGCACTGTTTTTCATCATGTGATTTCATTTGTTGAGCATCAATTCGGTCAATACCTGGAGGTAGAGCTCGAGTCCTTGTCTCCTCTGCTCAAGAACCTTCGGCACCCAGTTCCTCACATGCTTCGAAGGGATTTCTGGAGGTTTAATGATCTTTTTAAGCTAGAAAGAATAGATGATAGGGGAAAAACCTGTTACAAACTGGCCCGAAGCTGTCTCAAGAGTTTACACACAAGGGCAGACACGTTCTTTCCAAAAAGAATTTCCAAAAACTGTAAATTGCGTAAATGTCTGCTTCATCTGACACTGACTTCAGATACCCACTTTCCTCAATGTACACAATCATATATGATGTACTGTAGCAGCACACAATAAACAGTCAACAACAGTATTCTTTCTGAGCACATACAGTAAACACAGAGTAAAAAATGAATACAGCCGTGCTGATTTTAAGCTGAAAACTTGCAATCAACACACTGTTGCTCACATTCCAGAATTCCTCTGTGAAATATAAACAGTAATTATGTATATTAGCACTCCTTTGGAATGACCCTGGGGCCACTGTGAGAATGGTTCAGGACAAAAACGATTAGTTAATGCATTTAATGTCTTTAGTTTTATGAATTAACAATGAACAAACATCTTTATAGCATATAATTTAGGCTATAATTTAGAAAGAATATATATATAATTTATGCTAAAGTTAATTTATACATACATTAAAATAATAAATAGAGATAAATATTAAATATAGCAATTGGAAACTGAAGTAATGGCAGATCTTTTATTCCATATTGTGACATGTTTTGTATATCTAATAATAAGGAATACGGAAGTACATTTTAGAATCTTTAGTCAAATTTATCCTATAAATTCCTCCATTTCTAAATATTGTGCCATTGATAAGACATGCTGTTTCTGCAGGGTATTAGAAGAAACACCTGACTGTTTATTCTTTAATTGTAACATGAACGTGAATTAAGTTCTTTAATTACATCCCTCAAGACTTACACATCTTTAAGAGAGTTTATTTAAAGATGTGTCGACATTTTGATATTATGCTTTTCTCCTATGCAGATTTTTGTTTTAATGTGTTTTTTTCCTATGTAATTCTTTGATATTTGAGGTATGATTGTGATTTCCCTGTTCATTTATGTGATTTTATGTTCTGCAAATAAAAACGTATATATTTTTTATTTATTTATTAAATATATAAAAATGCAAGTCAGTTTATTTTAACTGAATGAATCATTCAAAAGTAAGATAAATAAAATGCAAACAGAAAACATATGGGGTGAATTTGCATTTCATGCAAACTATAAATACACAGATGCTCATTATTAATACAATTTTGTTACTGATACATTAACTAATGTTAATGCATTAAAATATACAAAAAACATTAATTGTATTTATGCATTTAGTATACGTTTTTATCCAAAGCAACTTATAACTGAGTTATAACATAAGATTAATAAATGCTTTGAGTACTGTTTATAAATAGTTCATATTAGCTGTTAATATATATAACCTTCTCATAAAGTGTCACCGGAAAGCTTTCTGACACATACAAATGTGTGTGACTAAAAATAAAATGTCTGTGGTTGAGCCCTAGATACTCACTCTAGATTTACCAGAAAACGCATTATACCATAATAACCAATGTATGCATGCTTACCATTTTATGTAGAGCGTGAAATTCACTGTATCGTTTCTCGACAGTATGCTGTCTACCACACATGAGCACCTCGATCTTAAAAACCTGGTGAGAAAAAGTGCGCTTCCATTATTTCTTTTACATATAATGCGGCGAACGGGAATGGCTCTTGTGTATCACAACGAATTCACTTTAAATATATACTATATCAAAACCCAGACATCATTTAGGGCATCATATGCGGGGTTGGAGAGTTACAATCCAGTTCAAACGCGCCTCAACATGCTCTAAGTAGTCAGTTCACTAGGTTTTGAGACACTGCCAAAACGTCTACGCCTTAAAAAAAAAAGTATCGTTATTGACTGAGGTGAAGCGTAATGTTTGCTGTCGTACATTTGAATGAAAGCGTGTTTACGCCCGCTGGCTCGATCTGATAACAGAGTTTGAACTCACCGTGTAGCCCTTCTCAACGTTACTGCCCTCCGACCGAAAAGACGGGATTGACACTTCTATTGGATGCATGATCCGGCAAGATATATCCGTTATTATGTGGAACAATAGGTGAAATAACTCTACGAGATTTTTGGCTGGTCCTGCACTGTAATTTTAATGGTTGTCAAGTTCACTGGGCGCCTGACATGGGAAGAATTGAAAATATTCCACGCGCTTCTTCTCCATCGCACGCAGGAGTCTGCAGATGCAATGCTGCCACCCGTGCTTCTGACAGGGAAATGCATCATCAGCCCGGCACCCAAAAAATAAACATTTGCTGGAAATTTAGTCACCCTCAGGCCTGCCAAGATGTAGATGAGTTTGTTTGTTAATCAGAACAGATTTGGAGAAATTTAGCATTACATGACTTGCTCACCAATGGATCCTCTGCAGTGAATGGGTGCCGTCAGAATGAGAGTCCAAACAGCTGATAAAAACATCACAATAATCCACAAGTAAACTACACAACGCCAGTCCATTAATTAACGTCTCATGAAGCTAAAAGTTGCGCGTTTGTAAGAAACAAACCCACCATTAATACATTTTTAACTTCAAACTGTTGCTTCTGGCCAAAATAGGAGTGAAACTGCAGAGGATCATTGGTGAGCAACTGATATTATGCTAAATTTCTCCAAATCTGTTCCCATTAAGAAACAAATTCATCTACATCTTAGAGGGTATTAGGGTGATGCATTTTCAGAACTATTCCTTTAAATGAGTAAAGACTGCTGCTGTTCATGCTATAATAAATGGGGTTTCAAGTTATCTGATTGCAGTTTCAATAACTCATATAATTTTTGTAATTTAAAAAAAAAAAAAAAACTTGTTTTATATATAAATTGTAAAATCAGCCAAGTTACCAATAAAGATACCCGATTAATGATCAAAAAGACCTCAACTGTATCCTAATTTAGTCAAAAATATTTTTGTTGTTGTTTCAGTTATTTAAAGGGGTCATATGATGCGATTTAAATTTTTCCTTTCTCTTTGGTGTGTTACAAGCTCTTGGTGACTAAGCGGAGTCCAGCCCGGGGTCATCACATGTGGTTGCCGCAAGCCCTCTGGACGCTCCTTCATCGAATCCGCCGCCCGTGCCATTCTCAAGCCCGCCGGCCGCCGCTCACTCAAGCCCGCCGTCATTACACCAAATACACCAAATAATGTTCTTTTTAGCAACATCATATGACCCCTTTAATCTCATGTTATTAGTAAATCTATATATACTGTACATTTGATTTAATTTTAATTGTTACTTATTGTTTATTACTTTTAGAAAATACTTTAGAAATCACACAAAACTGTAAAAAAACAACAACAGCACATATAATATTTACTTTGAGCAAACATTTTCTGAAATTGTAGCAAGATTTATGGATTTAATTATCACAATGTGAGAGTGGCAAGTTAAAATACAAGACAAAGTCATTTAATGAGGCTGAGTGTGAAGTTATTTATTCAAGTAATTTTCATTTCATATATAAAACATGTTGCAGTAATGAGCATCTGTATATAAATATCTACTTAGAATACACAACTAAAGCATCGCTCTAGCACACTAAAGCATGTTTTAGGTAAAAACCCCAGTGTGGATCAATATCTGAAGGTTTAATGTTTATCATTTATCAGTCTGAGAGAATGATGCTGAATGATTTGGGGAATGTGTGGTATCTCTGCAAACTGTGGTGGTTTCTGGCAGTATAAGCACCATTTTATCTAAATTTCTATAGGAGGAATCCAGCACAATATGATCCTGGACTCTATGTTTTTCTTTTTTCTTTTTTGCTTAGTAATTTCATAGCAAAAAACAACAACAAATAAACTGAATAATGCAATTCACTGTAAAACTGGACTTATGCCTCAGGCTTCTATATTCTGTGGCATTGTCAACATTAAAATGCCCTGCTGATTATTGGCTCTCACAAACAGGAAAGTGGCCCATGATCGGCGTCCATTCATCTGTTCACTTTGTCGCAGGTTTTTATCATCAAACTTCTTTTCTGATGATCTTTCCTTATTCCTTAGGATCCTTTAGTAGATTCTCAATAACTGAAATAAATATAGCATATTAATGTCTTTAGTTTAACTAGTCAATCGAAACATAATGTATACAATATGAAATAAAGGAAGTATAGCCTACTCACTGTGAAATATGACATCCTGAAACATAAACGTAGTTTCCGGTGTAACGTACATCACAGCGCACATTATTGTTACTGTAGTCCGACTCTGGCACCTGGTAACTGGGATTTATACTAACCTAAACCAGAAAAAGACAAACAGGCTGAAAGTCAGGAACATGATATTGGAAATTGTTTGAATGCAATAATAAATGATTTGATTAAGGCCATAAACCTTGAGAATGTAGTTTCCAGGTTTCACATCAGTAATATCTATCCACTGGCAGTCGATGTCGGCATTGTAAGTGTCGTAACACCCTGGAGTCAGGCCCTGGAAATACAACATTAGCATACTTTTAGCACATACACATGTAAAATAGTTACGGTACCCTGAAGTACAATGTCAAAACTAAGGTATAAGCATCATGCAGCATCATGGTATTTTTTCAAGTAACATATTATACCATCACTGGACCATAGTAAGTATAGGGTCAGACATGTTTCATTAAGGTCACTTTTTTCTTGCAGTATCTCTGATTAATAATGACCGATTCGTACGTATTTTACGAGGTGGCTAATTCGACCTCTTTTGTACATTTTCTGTGAGGGGTAGGTTTAGGGGTGGTCATTCATATGAATTCCTATGAATATGCCACCTCGTAAAATATAGGCCACGATATTTCACAAAACATATTAATTCATACGAGCCAGGTTGTACAGTTTAGCCACCTCGTAAAATATTTACAAATTGCCATGAGATTGGGTTGAATAATTACATATTTTTATTCCATGTTTGTCAAGAATTTATTTTCGACAAACATGGTGATCCCAGAATTCATTGTAAATCCATCCAAGATGGTGGACACTGCAGGAGAAATATTAATTAAATATGTAATATCATTCAATATAGATTTTTTTTTTTGATTATTTTTTTGAGTAGTACCCTTACAAAAATTAACTATGATTATACTACAGATAAAACCAAAAAACATGGTTACTTAAATGGTGGTAACCACAAATTAATCATGGTTTTGCTACACTAACCATAGTTTAACCATGGTATTTATAGGAAACTAAAAATTTATAGTAAATTAGGGTGACCATACGTGCCATTTTCCCAAGACGCGTCCTGGCCAGGATTTCTATATTGCCTAAAATATCTAGGTTTTGGCTTTGTTTGCGTGTGCAGACCGATCGGTGTATGACATCAAAGTACCATACAGACGGTTATGCTTTCGAAACGCTCTCGAGGTACTTTGATGTCAAACACTGATCGGTCTGAGCCGCACTGCTTTTAAGTCGAACACACCTAATATGTACGCGTAATTGCATCGCTTTGACCGTAGATCCCACCTTCTCACACGCCATGATTGGTCCATTATGTACAATGCTTGCATGTTATTGGTCAAACTACTTTCGATCATTACCTTCAGCAAGCATGAAAACAGGAAAACAAAGCCAAAACAAATCCTGGCCAGGACGCGTCCTGGGAAAATGGCACGTATGGTCACCCTATAGTAAATTTATAGTATAACTGTGGTTATACAAATGGTAGTCAATATGCTAAAAAAAAAACATGGTTACCACACTTTTACTATAACCATCCAAGATGGTGGACACTGCAGGAGAAATATTAATTAAATATGTAATATCATTCAATATAGATTTTTTTTTTTGATTATTTTTTTGAGTAGTACCCTTACAAAAATTAACTATGATTATACTACAGATAAAACCAAAAAACATGGTTACTTAAATGGTGGTAACCACAAATTAATCATGGTTTTGCTACACTAACCATAGTTTAACCATGGTATTTATAGGAAACTAAAAATTTATAGTAAAAATTTATAGTATAACTGTGGTTATACAAATGGTAGTCAATATGCTAAAAAAAAAACATGGTTACCACACTTTTACTATAATAAAACCATGGTTAATTTATGTAACGCATGTTGTTAGCTTAGCAACATGCTAACTTCAGAATCTTCAGAAATCCATTGTGAATTGAGTCTTCTGTCTTTCAGTGAGTCAGTGAGTCTTTCAATAAGAAGCACTATAGTTATAATGTACAAAGTTTCAAATCTGTCACTTGAGGTTTCATTTTAGTAGTTTAATGTATTTCTTATGTTTAGGCCTACTGGAGTAGTGTTGGTAGCTTAGCAACATGCTAACCTCAAAGGCTTTAGAAATCCATTGTGAATTGAGTCTTCTTTGTGTTTTTTATCAAAGGCACTATTTTGCAATACAATGTTTCAAATCGGTCACAGGTTTAATTTCAGTTATGTCGTTTTGGAACAGAGTCATAGAAGCACATAAATAATAAATGAGAGTGACCTGAGTGTGGGAGGTGCAGGCGTATCGTCGGTAGTAGCCGTAGTCACAGGACGTGTCCTCCAGACAGAAACTGGCCTTGTGTCCCTCTGCTACTCTTCTCTGTGAACTGGATTCCAGCAGGTCATAATGACTGAACTCGTCCATGCTGTGGTAGTGCCTAGAAACAGCAAAGTAAATCAGATTATCATCATGCATCACTTCCAACTGGTGCATTTCAAATTTTGCCTGCCTCTGCAGAATCGCATTTCTAGGTGGGTTAGTTAATAGGATTTAGAATGCCTGCCATTCATTTTCAACGCTGTAATCCGATTGATGAACTTCCTAAACACTGGGACATATATCAGATCTTCAGGAAGAAAAGAATATAATGCAGAGTCTTTCCAAAAGTACTCCATGGCCGATGTGAGCAGGAATTTACACCACGCAAACCTCTGCTTATTTCAGCTCAAATAGTCTCAATGGAGACAGTCAAATCGTTAAAGGGACACTTCAACCAATTTTTCATGCAGTTTTTTCCATGCAATTACAATGAATGGCGAATTTTGAGCTTTAGAAATGTAACAAAAGTACCATAAAAGCATTTTATATAATTTGTGTGCTACATTTCAAGTCTTCTAAGGCCAAACAAGAAACAGACTGAAATTTGATCTTCCCCTTAAGCTGTTAATTTGAGAATCACTGCTGCCAGAGTTGAGTTGAACGAGAGCCGTCTGACTTGTCTAGAAATAATGCATATTTGTGAACAATCTTTCAGATTGTTTCTGTGAAATGGATTATTTAGAACTGATTCATTGAATCATCAAGATCCAACTCAAAAGAACAATTCATTCACAAATCAGACATTGCTACACAAATGGCTTTAAGAGATCACTTTTGAAGCTTAAAAGCTCCGGTGTATATTGATTGTAATTATATGGGGAAAAGCGACCAGTACATTCTTCAAAAATTCTCCTTTTATGTTCTACAGAATAAAGAAAGTCATACAGGTTTGGAATGAGTAAATGATTCAAAAAAGTATTTTCTGGATGAAATATTCCTTTAAACCAAGTGGAAAAACCGCAGCATAGCCAAAAATCACTTCATATTATCTTAATGGACGATTCAGTAGCCCCAGCTTTAAAAAAAACATGCAGTCTAAATAATAAATAACAACCAGAAAAGTTCATATTATGACACGTCAAATAAATGCAGGTCAGCACACAGACCTTACGCCTCATTTATGCGTAAGACCTAAAGTCATTGTATACACTGGAGCTTCTCCAAATGTATGCCGTAGTCGGTGGTGAGACACGGCTTACTTCAGGACGAAACTATGCAGTGAGCCATTACTGAGTCAACTGAAGTATAAGAAGCAATAGTGGGCCTCTTCTAAGTGTTTTCATTTAGACAAGAACACAGACCTTTTTTCCCTGTAAAAACAGCACCACCAGCACTAGATTCAGATATCAGTCAGATACAACACTCAAACCATGATATAGCTCCACAATCTTACTTTTGCCCAAGGAATTCAGTTCATTGCATCATATCTGCTCCCTATAGAGTTCTCAAAAGTGGTCTGTGATGCATTACTAAACATGCAACTGCAGAAATGGTTGGACCTGTCAGATTCTGACTTACTGATGGCAGCTGTGCCATTCCCAGGAGTAGCGTGGCCTGCTGGGAAGGAAGTCGGAGGTTCCTTGGTTCTTGACTCGCTGCGGGAATCTCAGCAACATACGCGTGTCGTAGTCTCTCACGCTGGATCTGTATGCAGTGCTGCTCGACAAAAACAGCCCAACGGTTACAAAATATCAGACATTCCTTAAGTTTCTCATATTGTCCTAACAGCTTTCAGAATGTGTATCTTGGCCCCGTGGCCACATTTCAAGTGCACATGGAACAACTACAGATGCACGTTTCCAAAGAAACTACTGGACTATTTTCTGCGTGCCCCAGTAAATGTGTTTCGCAGTCATGCATGTGATCATTTTTCCATGTAAACAGCTTTATGTGAAATCTGTTTGTAGAGTTTCTAACTTCCCATCGTGGCAGGACTTTTCGTTTAATTCGTTCCCCTCTCACAGAGCTGGTTTGAGTTATAGGATGTTCCTACCACATGGGTTTTAAATAGGTTCTCATGACTCATCTGTTACACTTGGAGGAATGCGAGCTCGCTAACTCTCTCTAGGTGCAGCACTGCACCAAAAATCTTGATTACGTTCTTCTGTTTTATATCAGCAATAATACCTTGCCAAGCAGTTTTCCTCAGCGGCGCATCTGAGATTGTACATTGGAACTCTCTGCACATAGGCGGACGCTTGGATGTAGTATGGGTCTCCAACAAGATCAGGCAAACCTATGAAACACTGAAATGTTTTATCAAAAGATACAAGAAAATGTACAGAATTCAAATAAAAATACAAGATAATTATTTTAAAACAGCTTAAACTAGCCTGACCACCTGCCAAGTTCTCAAAACCCCTCGAAGAACCATCAGACCACCCTGACAAGCAAACCACCTTAGCCTGTTTTTTTTCTGCAAGGATGCCATTATTTTAACCCAAGTTTCAATTAAATTAAACACATGTAATTAAAATACAAGAGGATCCGATGGCGTCATGCTCTTTTTTTTTTTTTTTTAAACAGGTGCCGATTATTTTTAACACTTTTTTTTACTTTATATTTCTTCATATAGCTTGAATGGTATAGTTTCATAAATGGTGGACAGATTATGCATTTTGCGACTGGATGAGATTGACCAAAATGTAGACATTCGAACTTTTGATTTCTAACACAACATTGCAAATCATTTTTAATCCAGAGTAGCCTATTATGCAACGTAATAATCAAAGATCAAATTAATAGTATTTTTATTTGTTTATGTGGAAAGTTTCCCTATTATTTATTTATTTTGGGAAGTTGCCAAATCCACCAAAAATATAACGTATGAATAAGCATGATGCTAAAATTGCAGAAATAGTTATAAAACGGGTTGTCCGGGTCAGAAGACTTGTATGGGTTGTGAGGATCATCTCCAACCATCATTTCATCGTCCAGCGCGGGTCTGTCGGTGCCGTTGACTGGTGTTTGCAGCTGCTCCGTCTGATTCCTGCGCCCGCGTGATCCTCTGGCGCGCGCTCCACCTGATAACCAGCGCGCACCGATACCTGACTGCAAGCGCGCGGAGCGGCTCTGGGAGGCTCGCGAAGAAGAAGAAGAAGAAGAAGAAGAAGAAGAAGCAGCTGCTGATCCGTCGGTTCTCGTAGCCGCATCATCGTTGCGGACGATGGCTATCGGCCTGGCTTGCGTCTGCTCTTTGTTTCCGTCTCGTTTTAACGGTGGCTGATATTCCGAGCCTTGACTTAATATACTAAAGAGTTTGCCGTTGTGCTGCCATTGTATGGTTTGTCTGAGAGCTGCCGCTCCACTGTTGCCCTGACGCTGAGAAAGACCAGTTTGTACAATGCAACTTAATAAACACACATGCGCAAATGCGTAAATTAAGGTGTCAATTAAACTCGTACTCATTTTTTATGTTAAATTGGCTTCTCCAGTTCTTCCGCTTGCCGACGTTCCAGTAACTGAATTGGGGAAACAATAAAATTGGGCTAAGTTGTGCTCTTTCATAAAGCTTGCTTGTAAATAAAAAAAAAATAGCCTAATAAATTAAATTAAATCAAGTGAGACTTACATAACGGAAAGGTGAGATCTCAGTGTGACCTCCTATTGCTCTGCACTTGGACTAACTGATGCGCAAGTGAGAGGGAGGAGGAGCTGATTTTTTTAAAGTTTCTTGTTATACAAGCTCCGGTAACGGAAAAGCCCCGTTCTTATGAAACTGTAAAACGTGTTATTTAACATGTTCAAAAGAAATATGTAAAGAATTTGTAAAAAAAAAAAAAAAAAAGACTTAAAACTGCTTGTCATCGTGACCTACTTTACAACAGTGCAAAAATGTTTGTTGACATTTTCCTCAGTGCAATGCATTCCCATATGCATACACATAAATTAATAATAAATAAAAATAAAAAGGAAACTAGTATAAAATGCATGTGCCATGTATTCTAAAAAAAAAAAAAAACAAGTTTAACCATCAAATAAAACGTAGGCTACTAAACTGCTTTATTGTTCCTTGAATGCATATTTTAATCATTATTTTTCAAAATATTTATAAATAAATAAATAGAAAGAAACCAAACTTACAGTTTGTTACTTTTTTACATTTTTAAAAATGTTATATAAAAATCTTTATTTTTGTGTAAATATTCTTTTTATAATAAATACAGATATTAAAAAGTTTCAGATCATTGCGTTTTCTTCAAAATATTATTAACAAAACTAAAGATCTTGATGAAATGAATGAAAGATAATGGTTTTTGGATCAGCATTTCCCAACACGTTAAACTGTGACAAATCTGACTTTTGGATGAACCTTTAAGAGGCACTTCAAAAAAAAAACAAAAAAAAAACTTGGCAAAATGTCTCCATATATCAATGTTCTCATAGAATGAGGACTGCAAAGTAAGCAAAACTGATTTACACTACATTGTCTGTTCAGGAAGTTGTTGCTCATAAAACGAAATCCGTTTTTTATTTTCCTCCTATAACTTTCATTAAATCCTTTATTATTCTGTAGCTCTTTCTGAAAGCAAAGTCATGTGTGGGGCCTTCACAGCTTTACGAGGTGCTACATTAAACATCACATGTGCTTAGGAGCTCCATGTCTTGGAAACTGTTCTACATTCGTCACATGATGCACTGTTTATAACATTCAATCATAAACTCACCTGGGCCACCCAGACCTCCTTCCACTCTTTCCCTTAACTGTTACGTACTCTCATCTAATCAAACTACTGCCTTATACTTTCCCATGAGCGATGCATCCTATGGCTCGCAAAGAAACCATAATTGCTATTTAGAAAAACGTAATCAATGGTCTCCAAATTCTGTGTCTAGCCTCTTAAACCACTCATGTCCAGTGACAAACCGCAAGGACCAACATTGCACGACTAGATGGAGAGGTTTCCAAAGTCTTTTTTCCCTCTCTTTTCAGCGCACCAACAGAAAATATCCTTTAAATTGAAGGCTTCACTGAACGTGTGTCATAAATTACATGGATGATATTTCATTGTGGCCTTCGCTCTGAACCCATAGACTACATATTATCTTTGTCAATGTAAAATGAATCTCTTTTAGATGAGCCATTCTATTATTCATCATCCACGAGTGCAATGAAATTATGCAAACTCTGTTGCGGACACTAGAGGGCACATTTTCACTTAACAATATAGGATGGCATTCTTCTTTTCTTTGCAGACATACTAAAGGGTTGCTAATTGCAGCAAATTGAATTTATTTACAACTAAATTCACAACTTGCCTGAATAAATAAGCTTTCCATTGATGTATGGTTTGTTAGGATAGGACAATATTTGGCCGAGATACAACTATTTGAAAATCTGGAATCTGAGGGTGCAAAAAAAACAAAATACTGAGAAATCTGGAATCTGAGGGTGCAAAAAAAACAAAATACTGAGAAATCTGGAATCTGAGGGTGCAAAAAAAACAAAATACTGAGAAATCTGGAATCTGAGGGTGCAAAAAAAACAAAATACTGAGAAATCTGGAATCTGAGGGTGCAAAAAAAACAAAATACTGAGAAATCTGGAATCTGAGGGTGCAAAAAAAACAAAATACTGAGAAATCTGGAATCTGAGGGTGCAAAAAAAACAAAATACTGAGAAATCTGGAATCTGAGGGTGCAAAAAAAACAAAATACTGAGAAATCTGGAATCTGAGGGTGCAAAAAAAACAAAATACTGAGAAATCTGGAATCTGAGGGTGCAAAAAAAACAAAATACTGAGAAATCTGGAATCTGAGGGTGCAAAAAAAACAAAATACTGAGAAATCTGGAATCTGAGGGTGCAAAAAAAACAAAATACTGAGAAATCTGGAATCTGAGGGTGCAAAAAAAACAAAATACTGAGAAATCTGGAATCTGAGGGTGCAAAAAAAACAAAATACTGAGAAATCTGGAATCTGAGGGTGCAAAAAAAACAAAATACTGAGAAATCTGGAATCTGAGGGTGCAAAAAAAACAAAATACTGAGAAATCTGGAATCTGAGGGTGCAAAAAAAACAAAATACTGAGAAATCTGGAATCTGAGGGTGCAAAAAAAACAAAATACTGAGAAATCTGGAATCTGAGGGTGCAAAAAAATCAAAATACTGAGAAATATGGAATCTGAGGGTGCAAAAAAAAAAAAAATACTGAGAAATATGGAATCTGAGGGTGCAAAAAAATCAAAATACTGAGAT